GATTGGCACAGGACAGAGCGGAGTTTAGGGCTGTTGTACATAGGGTCGCTATGAGTCGCAGGCGACTCGACGGCACATAACAACAACAACATTTAATGTATATTTCAGCTTTTTTATGTCTGGAAATTATATTTCACGTTTTTGTGTGTTTGGTTTTTTTTAATTAATACCCTTTACAATTTTTCTTTGTATTACTGATTTTGAGCAATTTGCTTATTATGTGGCATGGTAGTTAACTTACATTTCTGATGTTTCCAGGGTTTTTGGTTTTCACTAAGTTTTTAAAAATGAAAACCTTCTTTCCTCCTCAGGTCAGCACCTCCAGTTTCCTGTATTTTAGACTGTTTAGAGTGTTCTGCAGTTCACCGATTCTCTTAGAGCAAGTTGTTTTTTCCTCTCTGTGTTAACTTTTACATAGTTTCTACTGCCAAATCTTCAGGTTCTGAAGCATTTACTTTAGTAATGTCTAAATTATTGTTAACTCTTCAGACAGAGTAGTTTTCACCTCTACAAGTTCAATTTGAGCTTTCTTTATATTTTCCATGTTTCTCCACTTTTAATGTCCTTAGCCTTGTGTCTGTTCTGGATCAGTGTTGGCTGGCTTTTTTCCCCCTTTTGTGGATTACCTCTTTTCTGCTTCTTTGCATGCCTGGTAATCTTTGATTGGATATCAGACACTAGATATTTTACATTTTGGGTGTTGGGATGTTTTGTATTTCTGTAAATATTCTGTAAATACTTCTTTTTCAAAACTACTGTGATTTGAATGAATGGAAGTTTACAGGGCAAACTAGTTTTCTATTCAGTCACTCCTTATTTGTTTTATTAGGATATTAATTACAATTGCCACAATATCTTGAGTTTTGTTTTGAGATCTATTTCTTTTTGAGACAATCCTTTCAGATGTTGATTTTAAGCTTTTCATGGCAATATCATGACAGCGGTTAGTGTACATTAAATTATTCCTCACTGAAACAAGACCTTCTCAGTTACTCTAGCCAGTTTTCCCATGAAACAGGAGGTTTCTAATGTGGCTAGTGGGGTCCCAGACACTGTTCCCATAGTGCTAGCCTTGCCTGTGTTCTTCACACATCAGCACTTAGCTGAATATTTGAGGAGGACTCTGCAGAGCTCCAGAATTCTCTTCTTGAGGCTCTGTCTTCTTGGTACCCTGACTTGGGAAGTCTTAGCTTGAGATGCAGACTTCCAGTGTATCTGGCTTCCCCTCCTTGGGCCCCGAGTCTCCTGCCTTGTGGCGAGTCCTCTTATTCTCGACCACCTCACATTTTTGTACTACATTTTCCTCACAAACTCACTCTTTTGTTATTCAAGTTCTTTATCCTTCCAGCCTGTATCCTGGAGGGAACGTCACCTATTCAAAGTAGTCAAATTTATGAAGGAATTTTCCCAAAGAACATGTCCTCTTACAGGAATTTACTAAATTCTGTTAAGAAAGCTGGCTGCCGCACTTCGCTGGGCAGTGGTGCCAAGCTCCCAGCACATGCCCACATGCAGGTAGTCAGAATTCCCACACTTTCTGAGAAGGACACTTTGTTTGGAGTTTTGTTTTCCTTGGGCCTGGCTTCCTGTTGCCATTCAGGCACTTATTAATTATAGAGTTACCATTCACTTCTCTTTCTTTGGGTGATCATTCTGTTCCTTTGTTACTACTCTGTGATAACTTTATTTGCTTTTTATCCTTTACCAGCTCTTTCCCACGATTTTGTGCCCTTGGAAGGGGAGACTGGGTGGTAGG